AGACCGTTCTCCCTTGGAGGCCCCATTGGGGCCCGTCCCCACGGCCGAGCAAGGAAGACTTTCAGGTAAGTTCCTTCTTCCCTGCCTTTGTATTCTCCTTGCCTTCAGGTGTCCGCCAATCCGTTCTCTCGACTCTTCCCACTACTACTACTACACTCACCACTCCCTCACAGCCGAGTCCGCCCCCTACTACTAGTACTGCCCCGTTGCAATTAAGTTCTACTACTACTACTATCATCCCACCACAGCCGAGTCCAACTCCTACTCCTAGTACCACTCCTACTACTACTATCATCCCACCACAGCCGAGTCCGACCCCTACTCCTAGTACCACTCCTGCTGCTACTATCATCCCACCACAGCCGAGTCCGACCCCTACTACTAGTACCACTCCTGCTGCTACTATCATCCCACCACAGCCAAGTCCGACCTCTACTACTAGTACCACTCCTGCTGCTACTATCATCCCACCACAGCCGAGTCCGACCCCTACTACTAGTACCACTCCTGCTGCTACTATCATCCCACCACAGCCGAGTCCGACCCCTACTCCTAGTACCACTCCTGCTGCTACTATCATCCCACCACAGCCGAGTCCGACCCCTACTACTAGTACCACTCCTGCTGCTACTATCATGCCACCACAGCCGAGTCCAACTCCTACTTCTAGTACCACTCCTACTACTACTATCATGCCACCACAGCCGAGTCCAACTCCTACTCCTAGTACCACTCCTACTACTACTACTATCATGCCACCACAGCCGAGTCCAACTCCTACTCCTAGTACCACTCCTACTACTACTATCATCCCACCACAGCCGAGTCCGACTCCCGCTGGTACTACGATATCATCACATCCAAGTCAGCCTCCTTCTACTACAACTGATCCAGCTAAGTCAAGCTCTACTGCTGTCTCTGCTGAGCTGGCAGAGTTAAGGTCTGACCTCAGAGCTCTCACTGCTCTTGTAGGTCGCTTGGTGGCTGCTCAAGCACCTACATCTTCGTCCCCTTCCCTTTACCCTACTCCCGCTGAGGAGGGTGTGGATGATGTTAAGGAATCATAGCAGCACCTATCATATCGTTTCTTGCGTTTGAGGTGTTAGTTGTGGGTATCGAACCTGGGT